CTATATCTTAGAAAGAGCTTTAAGATTTTAAGAGCTAGATTATAACTCTCTTTATAAACTTAAAGTATAGCTAGAGGCTTTTATATACTAATTTATACTTTAGAGCTAGTAGAGTTATTTATCTTATAGCTATATAACTTCTTAACTATATAATATACTTAAGAGCCTAGTAATATATATTTCTAAACTATTCTTTATAGCTTAAAGGGAAGCTTTATAAAATTAAAATATAATTAATTAGCTGCTTTTAGTTATTATTCCTAGCTATAAGTATATATATCTATTATTACTAGGGAAATTTTATATCTAGAGCTTAAAGAATAGTATAAATTATAGTAGAGGGAATTTTTAATGTTTAGATAGAGAGTCTTTTTATAGTAGAAAATATTAAAAGAAAATATTATTAAAGTAAAATATATCTAACTTTATTATAGTTATAGTACTTATATTTTTCTATAGTTTCTAGCTCTATAAGCTCTAAATATAATCTAAATACTATAAATAGTAATAGAATTTATTATATTCTATAGTTAGATTTATTACTAGTTTTAATATAGTTCTAACTATTTTATTTTTTTCTCTTTTATAGTTTTTATTTATAAATATAGTTATAAATATATACTACTATAGCTATATACTTAATTAAATCTTCTAATTTATTTATTTTAAAAAATTAGTTTTTAACTTTATTCTTAAATCTATTATAAAATATAGCTTTAAAAGAGCTATTATTCTAATCTAATTAAAATATATCTTCTCTGAATTTAATAGTATAATCTAAAATAGCTTTAGTTTATTAAAGATTCTTTAACTTCTTAATTACTTATTACTTATAATTAACTTTTCTAAAAACTCTTATAAATAAAATAATAAAGTTATTATAGCTTATAAGAATATTAATTATTATCTAATCTCTATTTTCTAGTTTAGTTTTATTTTTATATTAAATATAAAGAAATATCTAGAATAATTATTCTATAGTACTAGTAAAATATATTTCTATAAATCTAATTCTATTTTTATTATTCTTAAGATTTATTAGAAAGAACTTAAAGTAAGCTTAGAATTAGATTTTAAATATATCTAGCTCTTAGATATCTTTAGAAAAAAGTTCTAATAATATTAAATAAATAATTTCTTCTTAGTTTTTCTAATAATTCTTTTTAAGACTTTTAATATATAATATAAATTTTTTTTTTTTTTTTTTTTTTTTTAAAGTTTTTACTATATACAAGGGATTAATATCCCAAGATCAGGCTATATATAACTAGATCTATATAATTTATTTTTAATAAAGTTTTAGTCTATATCTAATCTTTAACTCTATTTTTTTTACTTTTTTATTTATATAAGCTAAGGTAAGATAATAGCTTCTCTAAAAACTCTAAAAAGAGCTTACTAAGTATATAACTTAGCTATAGGCCCTAAAGGGGAATACTTATTATCTATAATTAACTATAATACCTCTCTAAGCTTATTATTACTAATTACTAACTACCAGACCTCTTCTTATAATAATAATAGATACCTCTAATATTATTATCCCCTGTAGTCAGAGCCTGGTTATTATAAGCAACCAGGTCCTTATATATATAATAGTTATTATTAATAATAACTATTAGGATCTCTTTTTAGATATTAATTATTTAAGCCTATAATCTATTATAGGTTTACTTATAGTAATAAAGCTACTCTCTCTTATATAAGCCCAGTAGTTATATCTGCTAGGACTATTACTCTATCTTCTTATAGCTAGTAATAATATAGAGATAGACCTAATTATTAATATACTTATAAAGGACTATAATAATATCCCTCTAGTACTTAATTACTACTATAACCCAAGTTACTATATATAGTTCCAGCAGGTAATATACTGAGTTAAGTTAATCCGGGCTAAGGTAGCTCTTTAAGTTTAATATCTATTTTAGTTAGTAATATCAGGCAGAAGAGAATTAAATCAGATTAAATTAAATTATTAAAAAGTTTATTAGAGTAAAAAGTTAAATTAAATAAGATTAATAAGATAGTATTTAGGATTACAGCAGGTTAGTTAATTACTACTATAGAATATTTAAAGAAGAATATAATAGCTAATTACAAAGTTACTATATACTAATTAAAAGACCAAACATAGTTTCACATAGTAGTAAATTTTTTAATTATTTATTAAATAGTTAGTTCTTTTAGAATATTATTCTATTAAGCTAGAGTTTCTAAAGTAATTATAGTATCTTTTTATTATTATATAGTAGCTAAGATAAGATAATTAGCTAAATAAGAGTTATTAATATATAATAGTTAGATAACTTATATTAGATAGGGTTTAGAGTAGGTTAGAGTTAAACTAATTAGAGTATTATTCTAAGTAGTATAATTAGTTTATTATATAGCTATATAATATAAGTTACTATTAATATATAAGTATTATAAAGTTAGTTCTAATAGATATATAGATAATTATATTAATAATTATCTAAAGAAGTATTAAGCTATAGAAATAAATATATATATATATTAATATATTTACTAAAGTCTTTATAATAATCTTTACTTAAAACTTTACTTAACTAAGGTAAAGTTACTCTAATTAAATACCTAGGTAGATTATAGTAATCTACTTTATATATAACTTCCTATAGCCCAGAGATAGTTTTTATTTATAATACTTAAAGAGCTTTCTTTATATAAATATAGCTTTTCAGTCCTTTAGTACTTATTTAATTATTTATTTATCTCTCTAAACTTAATAACCTCTGTTTTAAGAATCTTAAGCTTATATATAACTTACTATATACTCTTTATAATTTAGTTAATATCCTTAATAATTAAGCTTAGAGAGCTACTCTAATAGTATTATACTTATCTCTTAAGATATTTAAACTATAAAGCTATCTCTTTTAAATTAATTAGGATTTTTAACTACTATAGAATAGAAAGTTCAGAGGATAATTCTAATAATATTAATATACTTATTTATATATCTAGCTTTAAAATCTTACTCTCTAGGTTTAGAGAGATAAATCTAGCTCTTTAAAATACTTCTAGTATATTTTCCTTAGTAAAAAAGATATTAAATACCTCTAGAAATATAGAGAAAAAGTCTTTCTTTATAATATATATAATCTAGGTCTTTATTAGATATTTAATTTACTAGCTATAGGTTTTTTTAATAGGCTAAAATAGCTAATATCTAGTAGCTAGAGTAGGTAAAAAGAGTAAGAAGATATATAGAGAGTAATAATATTATTCTCCTTATAGTATTTTTTAAATTCTATAAAATAATAGCTCTAATAGCTATCTAGTATAAGAAAATAATATTTATCTTTAGTTCTAATTTAAATATTTTTATTAAAGTACTAAATCTAATCTATAGTAATTACATTTAAAATCTAGCTATTTTTACTAATAGAAATCCTCTAGTTAGATAGTAAGTTTAATTCTTAGATCTAGAATAAGAGATAATATTAGCTTTTAACTACTAGAAATAGTAGAATTATCCAGCTAGCTATATTAATTATCTAAATTAAAGAAATCTATTTCTAGTTATTAGATTATACTAATTTAGATCTTACTACTTAATCAGAGTATATAATTATAGTATAAGTATTAATCTAGTTTATTAGAAAGCTAGCTTTATTAATATTATAGATATTCTTATTAAGAATATTATACTTACCTATTATATTCTATATAAGATTAAACTATAGTTAGATAATTTTAGAATCTTTATATAATACTCTCTAATAGTTATATTTATAAAATAGAACTATCTTAAGTAGTGGTTAGTACTTAATAAAGTAAGAAGCCTAATTAATACTAATATACTCTATATTATAGTTATATAGCAGGAGATTAGCTATATCTTCTATCTTAATAAGCTATAGTAAAAATATATAAGAATCTAGATTAAGAATTCTTTTAATAATAACCTACTCCTTTAGATTAATAAGATTCTAATTATTATACTGAAAATCAGCTTGAGAAGTATTACCTTACTTATATTATACTAAGGTTATATAATATAATATTATAGATTACTATAGCCTATTAGAGACTTAATTTTAAATCTCTCTTTAAAGCCTGGAGAACTAGAGTAAATTAATACTCTTTACTAGTATATAATATACTTTATTATTAAGTAAATTAAGATTAAAGTTAGAAGATAGAAAAATTAGGAAAAGTAGTATATATACTAGTTTAGTATATATACTAGTAGATTATATTATATAAATATATTTATTTTATTAATCTAGATACTCTCTTAGATAGTTATTACTATAATTACTACTATTTTTATTAAAACTAGTTTCTTAATATTTATATATTAGTAGTAACTTATATAGTACTAAGATAACCTGATTATACTACTCAGAATAATACTCTAATTAGTTATACCCTAACCTACCCTAGACCTCTATTAACTATAAATCGCCCGACTATTATAAACACTTATATATAAATTTATAGAGAGCATATCTACTTATTGATCCGGTAGCACGTCCGTTCGTTAGGCGCTATTCCGAATAAGTATCTTGGCGATCTCTAGATACATCGCTATATCATTTCAGGAGCTAATTACCAATTAGGTCGTGCATAATGTCGAGGCTGCGCCAAGCATTCCGTTTTGTCTGGGTTAGAAACTTAAAATATAGGCCCTTTCCGCGGCACTAAACTTAGGCGCCTAGCGGATCTAGACCCTTCTGATGGCAAATAGCCTTCAGTGGCTACGGCCGGCTTCGGAATAGGCATAGGGCAGGGCTATTTATTCATAATTTAGCACTATTTAAAGGGGCGACAAAGCATTGTCGCGAGCTGACTTTCTGTTCACGAAGTAGTTTCAAACATTGAAAGAGAATATTTTGTTTCTGAATTGAACTATGGAGCAACCCCGGCCCAGGCCCCTCAAACTGCTGTCTCTTGACGGAGGCGGTGTCAGGGGATTGTCCTCTATCATAATACTGAAGGCTCTCATGAAAAGCTTGAATAGTAGTTCGGAGATGTATCCATGGCGAGAATTCGATCTCATCGCTGGTACAAGTACCGGAGGTCTCTTGGCGATAATGCTAGGCCGACTTCGGATGTCTATTGATGAATGTGAAGCTGCGTACGCGCAGCTCGCCACGGACATATTCACCCCACGTAGGCATCGAGCTAATTTCTTGGGCCAGTCGGTCGATTTTCTTAAGGCCAATGGAAAGTTTGATGAACAACCCCTTGAAAAAAATTTGAAGAATAATATCAAAGATGCGGGTTTAGACGAAGAGGAATTTCTTCATGACATGAGAGCCGACTCTCCTAAGGTGTAAGTCTCGGACCCTATCACTTAATTCCTGCCTGGAGTATTCGTTATCAATCTAACACCAGATCTTGGGGCCAGTTTTGTTTGCGCAACTCAGGTTGCTGATAATTCCCATGCACTCATTCGTTCTTACGACAATCCTAGATCATTTGGGGACCTTGCAGACGTTAAGATCTGGGAGGCTGGTCGAGCAACATCAGCAGCCTCAACTTTCTTCGACCCTATTACCATCGGCCAAAATGGGGAGAGATTTGCAGACGGTGCAATACATTACAATAACCCTATTCGGCTTGTGTTACAAGAGTCGTATGCGCTCTGGCCAACTGGAGAGCGGCTTCTAATAAGCATTGGTACTGGTAGCGCTCCGGGTAAAGCAATCGATTCCAGCTTGCTGAACTTGGTGAACCAGTTAGTTCACATCGCGACGGAGACAGAGAAGACCGCGCGCGAGTTCTTACTAGATCACGAAGATATGGTAAAGGCGGACAGACTGTTCAGATTTAACGTATACCATGGGCTTGGGGATATCGGTCTGGATGAGTCCAAAGAGATCGAACAGATCTCTGCGAGAACCCGAACGTACCTGAGGGATCCAGAAGTTACTCGAAAAGCAATAGCATGTGTCAGTGCAATGAGGGAACTAAGAGGTGCTAGTTTATCTTTGTAACTTACTTTGGCAGAAGATGAAATACTGATCTCAATAAAGTAGGGCCTGATATCCCTTCATCTGAGATACAATCTGCGGCTCGGTTCATCGCAGTTCAGTGCAATCAGTGCTTGCAACGTATGTTCCCCTGCCAATGTTGTTGAGCTAGACGTGCTGATGGCTTGGAAGCAATTTATTTTAATAGTCTCTACTCTGAGTGTTTGAATTGTTGGTCCCGTGTTTGCGATTCTTGTACTGAAGCGCACAATGGACACTGTCTACAGAGAGTAAAATCGGTCAGAACAGCAGGCATTTCGCCTGAATGGGGTTCTGATACGGAATGTGCTTCTTGCAATAACCGAGTCATACTTGGTTGGCATTGTTCTCAATGCAGATTCTCGATCTGCCTCACCTGCCACTTAGCACCTGCGCCAGGCTACCGAGAACAGAGGACGAAGGTCTCCATCTTGTTCTATGAGCATCTCGTCAAGCATCTGAACACCAATCATGCGGCGACACTCATGACTTGTGTTCGAGGGGAGCTCTTCTTCCTTAGAAGCCTACCGTTAACCGCCTGCCAATGTCGTTACAATCCAAGAGTAGTAAACCATTGTAGCACGTGCTATACTGGTAAGTTTGTGATTCTGAGCATCCAGTCCAAGAAGTTGCTCATACTAACAACAACTTCCGAAATTCTAGCCATCTATCTTGAAGACGCTCTATGGGAATGTCACAGTTGCCATGAAAGCCTAGGCTGGTTTGCTATCATCTGTGACGCATGCAACAACAACGAGGAATACAAGGCAAAACATAATCCAATGCATACTCCAAAGCGATACATTTACTGCCATGAGAGTTCACTTGATTATGGAGACACATCGGACCTTGCAGTTTGCGCTGAGCCTGGTTGCAGTAAAGGTTTGATTACTTCGGCATTTGATATATATATCTCTACATGTAATAACCGTTGGACAGGAATGACATACGCAGCAACGTCAACCCACCCACATTCAACGTTCTATTTCCTCTATTCCAACGCAGGTCTTCAATACAAACAGGACTTCGCATACAATTGGTGTCCTTATAACAGATTGCGCCAAACAGCCGAAATGGCAGCACAACAAGCTGCTGTCTTGGCGGCACAACAAACACAAGCAAACACAGACATTCCAAGGAGACCCCAAGGGTCAAAAGAAGCGGATACTGGGTGCCGGATGTTTTAGACGGGCCGCTTGCTAAGAATACTCAAGGGATGTAATATATAGCTTAGTTAGCCTAATCCTCTCCAGAAGTGGGTTATATTCCTATCCACCAATCTCTGTACAAGTAACAGAAAGCCAATAATCAGCTAAAAAACTACCAAGCTACACCCTTATCCTAATAGAAATAAGTAACGCATTCTAGTAGAAGCCACCCTAGAATAATAGCCAGAATTATATATAGTATTATACTTTACCTATAGCATTATGCTCTACCCCCGGCGTTATGCTCTATATACAGTATTATACTCTACACACGGCAATATACTCTACCCACGTACAAAGTTATAATTAGCCTGTAGTATTATAGTTTATCTATAATAATTTACTTTACTCACGTACTATAATTTACTTATACTGAGGTATTAGGATTAGGTTTATCTATTATTATATAATTAGTCCTTATTATTAATTATATATATAATCCAGGCCTATCCTATTATTATATATATAATTAAGTCCTACTCTTACTAAGTATCTAAGTTCTTCTATAAAATTAGTTTATATTAAGTATAGTTCTTATCCTTTTCCTCCTTAGTTTTATTATTATTATTATTATTATTATTATTATTATTATTACTATTACTATCTTTATTATCTCTATAATAATAATAATAATATTTATTATAGAGACTAAGCTATTAGTAGATTATTATCTCAGTATTAGTATTACCTTCTATTATACTATCTAACTTCTCTATAAAATCTCTAGAAAATATATAAACTCTAAGAAGTTCTAGAATAAATATTTTATATAAGATATTTAGATTACTATCTATAGCTATCTAAACCCTTAGAACCCTTATATCTCTAGAAAGATCTTATATAGTACTATTACTATAAGGAAAGAGTATTAGAATAGGCTAGATAATATATATATATAATACCTTATAGATATTTAAAAGGTTAGAAAGCTTATCTATAATAGTAAGTACTATAATATAGAACTTATTCTCTTTTCTAATACTATTAGATAAATAGATCTTATTATAATATCTAAAGAGGCTCCTAGAGATAAAGATATAAATTCCAGGGCTAAAGATATCTACTATTACTATTAGTAGTTACTAGATATAGATCTTTTTAGCTAAAATACCTTTAGGAAAACTAAGCTTTCTACTAAAATACTTAGCTATTTTTATTAAAAGTATTAACTCTATATTAGTATCTATTCTATTTTTAGCTAGAAAGTCTTTAATATCTCTATTTAATATTATTATAGCTAGGCTTAACTAATAATCCTATTTATAGATAAATAATACCTATTAGTAATTCTATAACAGTTCCTAGTAAGATCTATTAAAATTTAGTAAGTAAATTTTTATACTAGTAAAAGATAGGGAGTAGAATCTATTATTAAGGGTCTATTAATCTATTAGTTAGAAATTTAAATTATTCTACTAAAAAAATCTATTTACCTAGTATTTAACTAATATTTCTAATATTCCTACTAGGAATATTATTTATCTGGTATCTTAGTAAGGCCTTAATTAAAAGTATAGTTAAATTAGGTCTTATTAAGATTCTTACTAATAATATATAGTAGGGTATAGGGTATAGGCTCCAGGGTAGGTTATAGGGTATAAGAGGATAAAGCTAATTTTTAGATAGATCTATTCTAAATATCTCCCTGATCTCTCTGATTATACCCTTATACAGACAGATTATTATTAGGCTATATAGAAAGCTATAGCTCTATATACTCTATATAATTCCAGGCTTATAGGTTTCAGATAGATCTATTCTAAATACCTCTCCCTATAATTCTAAATTATATCTACTACCTGATCTAGTATAGCAGTTAGATAGCTATACTATCTAATATTTTAGATAGATCTAATCTAAATATCTCTCCCTATAATTCTAGATAATATCTATAATTAATCTATTAAAACAGATCTACTTTTACTACTTACTTAGAATTATTACTAGATATACTACTTAATATTTAATTCAGATAAATCTATTCTAAATACCTCTCTATAATCTTAAATTATATCTATAACTAATTAGGTATTATAGTTTAATATATCTATTCCTTAATATCTTAGATAGATCTATTCTAAATCCCTAACTAGGAATCTAAACTATACTAACCCCCTAACTTTTTATATAGATCTATTCTAAATAACCCTCTCTATAATAATAGAAAATAATTATTACTAATTAATTTAAATAGATCTATTCTAAATAATCCTCTCTATAATAGTATAAAATAACTACTACTAATTAATTTAGATAAATCTATTCTAAATATCTATATATAGTAAGAATACTATCTATATATTACTAAATAGCTAGCTATTCTTAGATAGATCTATTCTAAATACTCTTTCTATATCTAGACTATAAGAATAATCCCTATCTATTAGTAAATATACTATTAGTATATTATAAAGTAAAACTACTCTTAAATAGATTTATTCTAAATTAACTAGATTTATCTATAGATATTCTATATACTACTTATATATTCTTAATATACTATTCTTATCTTTTAGCTACTAATTATACTATATACCTTCTAAAATTCTAATATAAAACCCTATATATCTATATACTATTCCAGTCTCTTCCTCTCTATACTATATATATTCTCTACTAATTCTAATTCTAACTCTATACTATAGCTTAGTTTATAATTTTCTCTTTTCCTATTTTATATTCTTATAACTAACTATTTTAGTTTTAACTATCTCTAGTCTATCTTACTTTTCCTAGTTCTATATCTATATTTTATTATCTCTATTTAATATTCCTTATATAATCTCTTTCTCTTTCTATTTTTATTATCCTCTATATTCTCTCTCTATCTATCCCTTCTTTCTCTAGCTATACTCTCTAGTTATAATCTCTCTTCTTATAAACCCTACTATCTATTTTAACTATTACTTAGTAGATACTTCTCTACTTTTCTTAGAATATCTATCTGGATCTAGATCTATATTCTATCTTCCTTCTTATTAGCCTTTAGCCTCTCTATATAATCTCTTTCTCTTTCTATTTTCTTTATCCTCTTAATTCTCTTTTACTCTTTACTAACTCTAGCTAGCTTTACTTTTTAGTTATAATAGCTTCTTCTTAGCTTAGATATATATAACTAGATATATACCTATTTTTAAATAGATTTATTCTAAATTATCTTTCTAATTCTTTTTAAATAGATCTATTTTAAATATCCCTCTCTATTTCTATTTATCCTTTATTATCTATCTTCTTATAGATCTATTACTAATATAACTCTTAGTATTCTAATCTCTTACTTTTAATTACTATTCTTATATCTAGAAGCTTAACTATTATAGTTAGAATCTATATCTAGAGAAAAGTAGAAAAAACTATAGTAGAAAAAGCTATAGTAGTAAAGGCTATAGTAAATAGTTTAGTATATATTAAATCAGAATCTACTCTACTCCTAATACTAGGATTAAGTATATAGCTAGCCCTTAGAGCTATATCTAAGGAGAAGAAAGCTATAATTTTAAAGTCTATAGTAAAGAAAACTTCTAAGCTTATACTAAAAGGATAGAGTAGACTAAGGATTATAATATACCTAAAGTCCTAGTAAGCTATACCTCCTTCTAATCCTAACCTCCTATTAGATAATAATAGTAATAACTAACCTCTTATAGATATTAATAAATAGACTGAAGAATATATAAATACTAAGGATAATAATATATCTAAAGATTATTACCTTATTAAAGATAAATCTAAAGATCTCTATATTAAATACTATAATTATAAGTATCTTAGTATCTA